AAAAGTTGCAATTACTTCTGTTACAGGATCAATTCTTTTCATTTTTAATTGAATTAGATTCAATTAGATTAGATTCTTTTTCTGTTTTGTAACACATTTTACATTTGGTTACTCCATTATGCTTTTAGTTATCATAATGTGGGGATCCTTAAAGACAACTTCAATTTCTTCTGCTTTTACAATTCAAATTGCAGCTATACTTTATACCACCAAGGTGGTAATATCTATCTATAGACATCTGCCTATATGCTCTGTTGAAATTGATGCAAAGTAAAATTTTTTAAGTATTTAAGCTTTTCTACTGATTTATGTTAAGAATTTATAGGCATACTCCTTTCTTTGGGATCTTAAATATTGTAGCAAAGGCAAAGTAGGAAAAAAAAACCAGGAGAAATAAGAATATTTTTGTGAATTAAAAAAATAGGCTAAATTAGTTTCTTGATGTAAATATTTTGAAAGAGCAAATGCCCTAATATTCAGTTAAAAGTGTCTTCAGAATAATTTCACCCCAAAAGGAGAAATAACAGTAAATCAATCAGAGCCGTTTCAACTACTGCTATGTAAAAGCAAACATTTAAGTAAATGCATAAAACTCTTGTCTACGGGTTTCACAAATTACAAATAATCTATGAAGAAGAAAAGTAATAAGTATTACCTATTTAAGAAGAGACAGCAAAATTTATTATCTAATGAAACAGAATCAAGATTGTTGTTTAGGCAGTTTAGTACTAGAGTCTCAGCAGCTATTCTAGTAATGAATCATCTAAATATTTATTATCTACCTATTAGGTATAACTTTGAACTGGATGTTAGAGAAGCTATAAAGACGAGTAAAGTAAGATCCCTGCACTAAAGGAAGCTACATTATACCGGGCCATCCAGGAAAATGCACTCACACCTGTAATACATGATAAAACGCACCAGACTTCATAAAAGACATGGAGCTCTATTAATCAGCTCAAAGACGTGGCAGGAAAGACTTTCAGTTGAGCAATGGAGAAAGCTTCTCATAGGGACAATATATGAGGGCCAGTAATAATCAAGTGACATGGATAGGAAAGTGCAGGAGAGATTCACAGAATAGTTGGCCAAGTCAGATGTTTGCAGGATTGTAGAAAGCATGAGGGGAGTGGTGGAAGAAAAGGGTAGAAAGAGTGATTTGGTCAAGCTCAGGGATGTGACCTTCATTCTTGCAGAGATGGGGAACTTTGGCATTGTGACACCTTGGAAGCTTAAGAAACCTTAGCTACGACTCCTCTAGTGAGGAGACACAAAAACTGGTCCTCAGAAAGGTTAAATGGCTTGAAGAAAATACCAAAATTCACAGATAGGAGTCAAGAACTAAGTTCCTGCCTCCTGGGAATGACAGGATCTGACACATTACTTAGGAAAATTATTTTTTGGCAACAATGTTCAGTAGGACTAGAGAGAAAAGAAATTACCTACAGTTTAGTTTGCAGTGAAAAGAAATGGGATGTAGTAGAGTTTAGAATTCTTCTATTACTGAGATGCTACTGTGAGGTGTTTTAAGAATGTTATTCACTTGAATATGCCACAGTCTAAAATGTTAACTTGGTCGCAGGAAAAATCCCCTACCTTGGCTATAGAACTTCTCTGAAGGAGACACCACAAAAACAGAGCTTTTGTGTCAACCACATTAGTAATATCTATTGCCACTTGTACCAGTTCAACTCTTCATGGAGAAGGGAGAATCACTGACATGAATGTCTGTGCTAATTCCAACAACTGTGAAGGGGAAAGCAATTTTTCAAAGAGAGTAAATTTCACTGAAACCTGTGTTCAAAAGTCATTTCTATAACAATAGAGTAAAACTTTCCCAAGAGTCTACATTTCATTGTGTTACCTACATAATGGTGAAAGCTTACACACAATGCTATGGAAAAACAGCTGAAGCACATGACCATAAAACAGACAAGGCTGCTTTTCATGTGTGGTTTGTGGAAAGCAGCCTTGTTACTTTACAGTCATACCCTGTAACAATCACTAGCCTAGCCACCCCAAGAAGTGCCAAGCTGAATGCATTACACTTAAAATAAAAGAGAATAACATAATCTTTATCCTTCTTGACAATCACCTTCAAAGGTTTAGATTAGCCCTATTTTCCTTTAATACACTGTGTGGATCGATCATCCAAGAAATTACCTAACATTTTCTGTATCTATATTTTCTAATGACACTTGTATTGTACTTTTATAGCGCTGTCAAGTCTATTATATCAATTTTTTCTGGGTTTAAACAGTTTATCTATATCTTTCCACATATTTTAATGGCACAGTTTAGATTATTATATTTTGAACCATTATTTTGAGTTGAAAAAAGGAGAACATATCTATAAGATTGTCTAAGTTTGAGGGAATTTCAATAAGGACTTTAAAGTATTACTTTTGTCCTCTTTTTTTTCTTTATCCTTTTTTGAGGGTTCCTTTTATTAAAGCAGTACCAAAGTTTTATGAGGGCACAGACTATATCATTGTGTCCCCCAGAATGCCCATACCTCATAGGTGCTCAAAAAGTTTGCTCAAGTAATACAATGAGCAGTGATAATATGTTAACTTTGGACGTAGCTGTATGATGCAAAGATCACCAGGGCAGGTGTAGCCTAGCAGAATGCCTAGGCAATCTCCTGTGGAAGCTTGTTTTTCTCTGCTGGCTTCCTAGATGTTTATATTCCATAGCCTTCAGCCACAGACCTTGTCCTTCACACTCTACGCACTTTCCCTGAACAAAGTCATCCATCTACTCCCAAGGCTTTGACTCCTGTTGTGTATGTGTATAACACCCAAATTGTCTTTGACTCTGACTTCCTTCCTAAGCTACAAATTATATCTCTTACCATCTACTAGACATTTCCATCACAATGTCTGACTAACCTGGACACAAGCTCAAAATTGGAAGTCATCGCCATCCCCCTGACCCCTTTCCTTGTGAGGTGTTGCCTCTGTTGGTAAATAGCCCCACACAATTGCCCAACAGTGAAACCCATGTAAACTCATTTACTCTTTTGGCTACCCACATTGAATCAATCACCAATTCCTAGTAATTCTACCATCAAAAATATATTTCCAACCTATCTGCTTTTCTCCTTACCTACTAAGACCACACACCTTAGTTAGGCTTATCATAACTCACCAGAACTATTCTTAACTAGAGACTTTGCCTCAAACTAGCGTCCTTCCAAACTACCATACAGTCAAATAATCTTTCCAAAAGGTGAATCTGCTTAACAACCTTAAATGACTTCCTACCATCATCAGGATAATGCCAAACTCTTTGTCATGGCTTACGAGATCCTTAAGAGCTAGAAGCTTCCTTGTAAGATATACTTACAGCATGGCAAAATGAATATACGCAGAGTCTAGAGGAGCCAGACGGACCTGTCACTTACTAGCTGTCTCATAAAAGGCAAGTTACTTGATTTCTCTGTCCCTCAGTTTCCTCAACTGTAAAAGGGGAATATTAATACCAATTTCACAATTGGTTGTGAAGGTTAAATGCGATAAAATACAATGTTTGACACAGTATCCGACACATTTGACACACAGTGTTTAGTAATCACGAGCTACAGTTATTATCTAATTTCTCACTTCTCTCCCATGCGTTCTGGATTTCATCCATAGCAAACATCTTTCATTTCCTCTCCTCACTTATTTGTTATTTTACATATCCAGTCCCTCTAACTACAATCTCCCCTCCCTCTTCTTCACCCTCTCACAATTTTTTAGGTCTCCTCCTAAATGCCACATCCTCTGGAAAGTTCGTATGGCCCCTTCTGTACCCTCTTTGTTGCTCTTACTATGTGCTTCCCAAGATCTCGTATTTTTCTTGTGATAGCACTCGTCCTACTTTCTATAAAATTTTTTCTCTTCACTGCTAAATTCTAAGTGCTGTGTGAAGAGCGACCGTGTCTATCTTGTTCACCGCTGTGTTCCCAATGCCTACTACAGTGCCTGACACACAGCAAGCACTTAATAAAGAGTATATAACTCCTCCCTTGGAGGTCCAGAGATGCTTCCCCCTCAAACTGCAGTTGGTAGAAAAGGATAGCTTCCCTCTAACCTGTAGAATAAGGTGCAGAAAAGACTGGCTGGCACAGGATTTGGTCACATAACCCGCAGGGCAGGTTTAAACACAGTTAGGACTTCTGAACCATAGTAGTTCTCAGGATCTTTTTTATACTAAAGCGCATTGTGAATTTTCCAAGTGGGGGGAGGAGATGTAGACTTCTCAAAATACCTCCTGCCACCACTTTTCCGCAAAACGCAAGGGGGCAAAGCCATTTAAGAGGAGGCTGTCCTCTACTCGGACTTCAGGTAGGCTGGTAGTTGTGGACGAGGAAATCTAAGTACTTATGCCTCGGGGTACACCGTTTTTAGGCCAGTAATCTCTGGATGCAGAATCTGAGTGCCAGGAGGAACCCTATAAATAATTTAACAAAGCACTTTCTTTGACGGATAAGGAAACTGAGACCCAGAAGGGCAAGGAGACTGGTCTCCGGCCGCGCAGCAGCGACTTACAACAGGAAAGGCGTGGAGCCTCGAGATGCCCATCTAGTCCCAGCGACTCCCAGTACAAACAACGCCTCTGGCCACCTGGGTCTGCCAAGTGCTCCCACTTCAAATTTTATTTCTAAGCCACACCAGAGTTCGGGTCGGTTTTTCTCCCCAGGGCCTACAGTTGTGCCCCTCACTCCTCTCTCCCTTCCACAATACACTTTGCTTATCATCACCGGCAGTTGGGGCTTGGCTGTAGGGGGAATGGCTTTTCGTTTTTTGTTTTTTTTCCTCTTTCCTCCAGAGTTTACTTTTGGATGTAAACTTTTTTCATGCAAGCCCCACCCCCCAAATAAAACCCTGCTAATTTTAAGGCCTCCACCTAAATCCACATAGGCGCTGCTTCCCTCCCCCACGGGACCCTAACCCACCCCACCCGGCCCGCTCCCTTCCGAGCTCGGACGCAGGGGCCCTGCTGCTGGTCTTCACCTGGGACTGCCATGCCGGTGGGAAGAGGGGTCGTTGGAGCTTTCCGCTTTCGAGAACGCGTTTGCTTTCTAGTTGGCGGCCAAAATAAGGAACAGCCAAAGCGGCCTTCTCTGTTCGACCGGCGCCGCAGCACGTTCGCTACAGTCGGGGAAGGCCCTGTAACCCTCTAGCGGCCACAGAACCAGCAGAGGCGGATGCAGTTTCTGGCCGAGTCGTATTACGGGCTACACACGGTCCGAACCATTATTGCCAGCTTGGGGGGGGAGGGAGTGCGACCTGCATACGAGACGAGTGAAGTAAACACACAGACACGTACGGATTGCCTCTTTTAATGTTATAACACAAATTGCATTCGGTTATAGAAGGTTTAGCATCTTTTCTCGTTCCCTGGAGTACATTGGCACCCCCCTTCTCAGGGTTAGCGGTGTTCGGGTCCGGGAGCAGCATGGCGGCGTCCGTGAGAGGCTAGCTTTGGGCAAAGGTAGTGTTTGGTGTCGCTTCCTTGCGTGGTCTTGATCAACGGACGCTTTCCTGGACCACCCGACTTAAGGAAAAGTGTACTGGTAGGCGGACTTTAGTGACCGACCGTCCGCTTGTATCCCCGACAAGGATCAGGGGCCTGGGCACTGACCAGGATGAGCAACATCTACATCCAGGAGCCTCCCACGAATGGGAAGGTGAGAGCCTCACCTAGGGAATCTGAGGTCCCCAAAGTGAGATCTCCCCGATTAAGGGGGTGGGGGTTAAGAAATCTTAGGGTAGTACGAGACCACAAGAACTGATGTTCTTACCCTTGCCCGAGGACAGTGTTGCATCAGAGGTATTGAAGTTGACACTTCTCAGCATTTACCTGAAAAAGTTCCCAAGTGGAGATTTCTCTACCAGCTTTCCGGCCCTGTTTCTAGCCTTAACCCAACTCATGCAGGCGTTTAAGGATCTTAGGTTTCTAAGAGCATAATTTTGAGATTGACATATGTTTTGCTTAACTTGGAGACCGTTCATTCTCCATTTCTTCTACAATCAATCATTCACTGAATGCCTGCTAGGCACCGGGCACTGTACTAGACGCTGGGGATACAAAGACGAATGGGTAAGGTATAGCTGTGGCCCGAAAGAGCTTATCCTTTACCTTGGGGAAAGGCAAGTAAAGATAAATCTTAGGATATGTCTGGTAGGTGTTTTCCTAGAGTAGGGAACGTATTGCTATGGCAGTACTGTACCTCAGAGTGGGCATCTTGGAAAGTTAGGAAAAACCTCATGGAGGAGGGATCTTTTGAGCTTGTCTTGAAACACGACATGATTGTCATTCAGAGAAAGTGGGAAATGGGAAATGTTACCACATTAGAGTGGGAGAGTGATTCTCTGTTTGGTTTAATGGCCAGTGTATGTCAATTCTTGTCTAAAGCGTTTGTATGCATTATAAGGCGGAGGAGTCAATAATGGGCAGAGTGTCTCCTGAATTTTTGAACTGAGAGACTGTGTATCACATATCAAATATGATGATTCAGCATAGTGGCGAAAACAGTGGGGCTGAAAGTATGTAGTTGAATTAGGATAAACTAAATTTACATGTAATACAATTTTGTTGTGTAACACTATAAATTATACAATCTTGTATTTATTGATATTTGGCAATGTAATATGAACAGGTTGAAAGCAGCAACAAAAATGCTGTAATTCCAAGCACAAATTTTAGTGGACATTTTGGGCAGATCAGTTCTTGCCATTCTTTGTTGTTTGAACTTCTCCTGAGCATTGCAGTTAGGATTGCCATCCCCCCACCCTCTACCCTTACTCCGCATCAGTGTGAAAATCCCAAATTCCTTCTTCCTCATATTTCCATATGTTTCTTGAGGATTATCTCACCCCTAGTTGATAAACACTGGTAGAGACTGAATAAATTGCTCATCCTGCCAGGTTGGGCTTTCACACTTGCTATTTCACACTTGCTATCTCTCTCTAGTATGCTGTTTTACCCTCGAGTGTTAACCTTAGCAAAGAGCCTTTCTTATTTACTTTCTATGCAATAGTAAACCACAATTATGCCTTGTACCCCAGCATTCTCTGGTCCTCTTAACCTTTTTAGTTTTCCCTTAGTATTTATTATTTATTTTATTGTATCCTTCCCTCTTCCTGCTTGATATATAGCATAAAGAGTTCAACTATGTACTAAATGAATGGATGGGTAAATTAATACTACACCTCTCTTAGCTGTGAGAAGTATTAAGCATCACCAGTCAGAGTTTATACTGTTGCTGGTCAAGGGCAGACTTAGTTGCTTTCCTCTAGAGGAAGATTTCACATGGTTATGTAGATCAAAAGCTTTAACAAGGATACATCCCTGAATTGATTATCCATTCAACAGTTAATCACTGAGCACTGAGCACATGCCAAGCTCTATGCTAGGTTTTAGGAATACAGTGGAAAGAAAAAAATAGTGTTATCCCTATTATCATGGAGTCAGTTAAATGACATATACATTGACCAAATAATCATGCACGTAAATATGTAATTTCAAAATGTGGTGAATATTGTCTTCTGAACAGAAGTGGACTGAAGGAGAGTGTAAGACAAGGCCCAAGTTTTCCTCTGAAAACAATTTGGGACTTTTTCCAATATAAGGCTGACTAAAGACGTTGAAGCTACAAAGTTTTGTACTCTAAACAGCATGGCAGGAATTTTGGTCTGAAAAAGAATTTAAGGCAGATGTAATAAAAAGTCTGCTCAATAAATGTTTAGTGCCTTTATTAAACTTTCAAATAACACATTAGGTACTGAAAGGATACAGAGATATCCAAAATAAATGGGACAAAATTCCTTCTAAGAGCATAGTATCAACTTGGGAAGTAATTGACACACGATACCAGTAGTTGACCCCTAGCTATTGTCCATAAATGTGATTTTGTTGTATTAAGCTATAACTCTAGCCCCTGAAGGTAAGAAACAGAAATGTATTTGACAGAAATTTTCTTGAGCATAATAGGTAAACCTTTGAAGACGATATTTCTACATATTATGATCACTTAATCTAAATTTTATGTTTACGTATTCTTAAGAAAAATGATATTATTGAAGTATTGTCTTATTTGGAAGCTTAAAAAAAGAGAGTTATCAAGTCCTAACAAAGTAGTGATGGTCAAAGGGAATGTATGGCTAAAGGAGGAAGGAACCATATACCTTCTTTATTAATTCAGTAGCTTATTAGCGAAAAGATTAAGAAACCCTGGTAAGCAAGGTAACTCAATAATATATGAATTAGTTTTCCTAGATGTAAGTTGCCTGTGGCCAAAAACCCAATTTTTTAAGAATAATAATGAGGATATTATACATATAATATTATGAAAAATATTAACTATCATTCTTGGAGCACTTGTTGTCAGGTACTGTTCTAACAGTCCATGAATTATAGCTCATTTTGTCCTCACAACCATCCTAGAAGGCATTATTATCCCTGTTTTTAGATAAGAAAATTGAGTCACAGAGATTTTAGATATTCTGCCCAAGGAAATGAAGCTAGTAAATGGAAGTAAATATTTGAATTTGGGCAAATTCAAATGACTCCAGAGCCTGTGGAGAGAGGGATACTGTGCATTAGTTTTTCATTACAGCAGTGGTTTCTAAACTGAGGCAGGGAGTCCTTCCCCCAAGCCTAATAAAATGAAGGCCTTCCCAGGATAGAGAAGGGGCCCTGTTAGTACAGTAAATAATGAAAGAATAATGAAAGAATCCTTCTAGCACCATAAGATAAGAACTCTCTTAGAAGATTCATGTTAGAAAGAAATGTAGCCCCCGATCTGTAGTGTGTATGTATAACTCCGCTGTAACCTTGAGGTGTGAAATACCCAATTAAAATGTATGTTACTCGTATGTAAGCCTTATCAGGGGAACAGAGAAGCTAAAAATGTATAAAAGGCAATGCCCCGCTGCACTTGAGGCTCAGCCTTTGGATGTGAATCCCCTGAGCGAGTGCCAGCACAAATAAACACTGCTTCCTGGCCTTGGTGTCCCGTCTCTCTCATCTCTCTCTGTAAATTCCTGCCACAAAACCAGTGAGTGAATACTTAAGGGGGTGTGTAAAACCACCCATGGGGTGCAGGGGAAAAATCTGTATCTATTTGTATTTATTTTTCCTTTCTCTATTTTAAGTACAATATTTTATATATAAATTCAGTCACTTTTTGTATTATCATGTAATTTTTGTTAATAATTGGCTAAATGAATTTACAAAACATGGTTTCTAGATTTACTAAACTAGCCCTCACAAATTTCATATTGCGATACTATTAATAATATAAACATAAGCAAACCATAAGAAAATGGTAGAGCAGATGCCTCAGAATGAGAAGTCTGTCAAAAAATTAGAAATTGTTATAAAGATCATTTAAAATATGGATTTCTGTTTATTATAACTAGTGGTGAACTTTGTCTTAAATATATACTGTGCCTTGAAATATTTATCAGTAAGAGGTATAAAGCCATTGTGATTTTCAAGACATTTAAAAATTAAGTGTGTAGAATAGGAACACAAACCTCTGTAATTTGAAAGCAACATTATGCTAAATGAAAGAAACCAGGGCCACCCATTGTATGATTCTATTTATATGAAATGTCCAAGAGGCAAACCCATACAGATAGAAAGTGGATTCATAGGGGCAGGAATAGGGTGAAATGGGGGTAATGGGTACAGAGTTTCTTTTTGGGACGATGAAGTGTTCCAGAATTAGATAGTAGAGGTGGTTGTACAACTCTATGAATATACTAAAACCACTGAGTTGTACACCTAAAAGGAAGAAATGTTTGGTATGTGGATTACATCTCGATAAAGCTGTTATGAAAAAGGCTTATTGTGCTGTTAATAAATAAGATTAAATGAAGAATTATCTAAAAATACTATTTTTTTTACATTTTATTTCATTTTATCTATTTTTTTTTTTTTGAGTTGGAGTCTCACTCTGTCACCCAGACTGGAGTGCAGTGGCTGCTCCTGGCCACTGCAGCCTCGACTTGCTAGGCTTCGGTGATCCTTCCGCCTCAGCCTTCCAAGTAGCTGGAATTACAGGCGCGCACTACCGCGCCTGGCTGATTTTTTGATTTATTGTAGAGATGAGGTCTTGCTGCCCAGGCGTGTCTCGAACCCGCGGGCTCAGGCAATCCACTCACCTCAGCCTCCCAAAGGCGCAGGATTACAAAATGTAAAGATGTGGGATACAATTCAGGGTTAGGTATATAAACATTGATCATGCAGGTACCCCTATTAATGAGGTATGCCCCTCCCTGCCCTAGCAGTTTCCTTCAACTGCCAATCCCCGCCCACCAACAGTTTCCCATTACTGCCAACTGCTTTCTTATAGCATTATAATTGTTCAAGATCCTCTTATGCGTGAGAACATTTGGAACTCTGTTCTTTGTTTCTGTGATAAGTCACTGAGTATGATCGACTCCAAATTCATCCAGGTTGCTGCAAAGTCCATATATTTGTCTTTCTTTATGGCTGCATAATATTCCATTGTGTATATATGTACCACATTTTTTTTTTATCCAGTCCAGCTTCGATGGGCAACATGATTGGTTCCACGTTTTTGCTATTGTGAATAGAGCTGCAATAAACATTTGTGTGCAGGTATCTTCTTTGTAAAATAATTTGAGTTCCTCCAGGTATATTCCCAATAGGGGAACACCGTTTTAATGTAATCTTTTAAAATTCTTATTCTGTGACTCTTTCATAACACTAGAGTAAGGTAGTATTACATGAATTTAAACATACATATTTTGGGTATGTGTGCTTTAATCCCCTACTTCCTCTCCCCTTGTCCTTTTTCTTTTTTTCTAATAGGGATGCCCACTTACAAAAATGTTTAGATATCATTGCTTTAGGGTGCAATTAAGAGATGACATGTTTCGTTTTCCGTTAAGAACAATATTTCAAGAATGCAAGGATAATAAGGCAGGACAGGATACTGTTCTTTTAGACCTACTGTACTTTTAGAATGTACATCAGTCCTCGTGGAAAATCAGAAGACGTTGTATAGTATTGTTCCCGATACATTCTGAGGTCAAAGGAGTTATCCATCCTCTCTATTTGTATCCCAAATGTGTACTTCCCAGGAGAATGAGAATCAAGTTGTGTTGGTTTGTCACCTTCCAATGTGAAGTATTTCTTTTGGGCATTGTTTCATGCCAAGGCAATTTAGAAGGCCTTGCTCATGTTCAGTTAATATATACGATTACTTTTGACTGATGCATTATTCTCTGTTCAAATCAATTGTGACCAAGGCAGCCTGGAGATTTCTTTTGAGACATATGGTAGGGCCCTAGAACCTGATGGACTGTTTTTTCAAAATAGTGTGGAATATATGGAGAACTTTGTGGAGACAACATTATGATATGAAAAAGCATAGGTTTTGTAACCAGATAGACTTTGGCCCAAATTTTTCGCTGTGAGAACATAGATAAAATTACTTTATCTGAGTTTCTGTTTTTTCATAAATAAAGTGGGAGTAAGATACCTACCTTGTAGGTGAGGATTAAATGGGATAAAAACTGTAAAGTATCTGGCACAGAAACTAACACATGAAAGGCATTCAGCAAATGAAGTGCAATGGATTGAGAAAATTGCGCATGTTTGCATTTCTAATTCTTTTATATTTCTTTAAATGTTATGGAAACCATTTAACAATCAGCCACAGCATAGATATTTTTACCTCCCCAGTCCCCATGATCATTGAAGAGTGGTTATATGAGAATCATGTAGCCAGTAAAAGTCTAAAAGACAATATTTTCGTCACTGATGTGTAAATTTATGACAGGTTTATCTGAGCTTCTGAAATGGAAATTGAAAGGCAATTTAGCAAAAATGCACTGGACTGGGAAGAATGAGCTAAATATGCCATTCCTGTTTTTCTGTGAACAAGTATTCTGACTCAGGAGCAATTTACAACTTCTCCCAGGCATCCATGAAAGGCAGAGCCTTAGTTGAATGGTTTTAAAGCTTCCTCTAGTTCCAAAAAAAAAAAAGTATATTTGTATAAATTAGTTACAGGAGTTTTGGAAAATAAAAACTGAGACTTAATGTCAATGGTACTGACTTTCCATGAGAACCAGTGTCATGTTTTTAAGTAGTTTCACTACATACTCTTTATTTGCAAGAGCAATCTAAAAGATTGTAATGGTCATAAATTATTAACATTGATCTACTTTGGTATAATCAGGGAGAGAAAAGAAAAAGTGCTACTGAGAAATTGAACTCTAGCTATGCCACAGTGGTCAAATTTCGATCCTAACATTCTTTTTGGTTATTTGTAGTTGTAAATAAGATAGTTATCAGCTGATTCCTATTCTGGGCTTGGTAGAATTCTGGTTGTTTCAAGTTAACTGGTTCCACCAAGGAGTGTCTGCTATTATGAGCTGGTGGAAAGGCTATCAAAGGATTCTGTTTATTATACATGGTGATGTTAAGACATACTATTTTAGTAAGTCACAAACTAGAATTAGATTAAGAATGTTCCTTTGTAAATTAGGAGTAGTTTGATGTGAAATGAGAAGTTAAAGAGCAATTAACCAAGGATAATTGTAAAATTGTTGTATAGTGTCACAATTTAATGGGTTCATTGTTCTTTAATTTCTTAATTTGCTACACCAATTGTACTGGAAGTGGTACAGTGGGAAACTTAATTATAACAAATTTGCTTATTGGTTGTTTTTGCTTTGGTTTTGGTTTTGGTTTTTGGAGACAGGGTCTCACTCTGTCTCCCAGGCTGGAGTGCAAGCAGCATGGCTATAGCTCACTGTGACCTTGAACTCTTGGGCTTAAGTGATCCTCTCACCTCAACTTCTTGAGTAGCTGGAACTACAGACACACACCACCATGCCTGGCTAATTTTTTACAATTTTTAGAAGTGGAGGTTTCATTATACTGCCCAGGCTGGTTTTGAACTCCTGGCCTCACGTGTACCCCTGTCTCAGGCATTATTGTTTTTTAAATGAATGATTTTTTTTTCTTGTGTTGAACAAGGTATACGCTATTCTTTTTTAGTCCTAAACTTTTCCTTCAAATATATTGAAAGATATACAATAAGCTGTAGCAAATATGTGACATTTTGTTGAATATAACAGTTAATTTATTTATTTATTTATTTATTTATTTATTTATTAGTTAGGGTCTCCCACTGTTGTGTAGGCTAAAGTGCAGTGGCATGATTATGGCTCACTGCATCCTCAAATTCCTAGGCTGGTCTCAAACACCTGTACTGAAGTAATGCTCCCACCTTGGCCTCCTAAAGTGCTAGATTACAGGCATGAGCCACCGTGCCAAGCCATGGTATTTCTTTTAAAATTGAAAACGCACTAGTGAGTGCTACAAGTTGAGTAGTCATTCAACTGATTGTCAAGCAAAATGACAATTTAATATAATAATGTGATATTCTTTCTACAGGTTTTATTGAAAACTACAGCTGGAGACATTGACATAGAGTTGTGGTCAAAAGAAGCTCCTAAAGCTTGCAGAAATTTCATCCAGCTTTGTTTGGAAGGTAATTATATCTCTTGAGTTTTATTCTGCAGGATACATTTTTGTTTATTTAAAAATAAACTACAGTGTGTTTTTTACAACATTGAAGCTGAGCATTAAATAGTGGTTATGAGTGATAGGTGTTGCTGTGAGTAATAGATGTTGAGCTGTGTGTCGGGAAGTAGAGAGAAGAGATAAAAACTTTACCCAAAGTAAAAGTATATTTCTTCTTTTCTTTTCCTTTTTTTTTTTGAGTTGGAGTCTCACTCTGTCGCCCAGACTGGAGTGCAGTGGCCGCTCCCGGCCACTGCAGCCTCACCCTGATGGGCTCCCGCCTCAGCCTTCCGAATAGCTGGAACTACAGGCATGCGCTACCACGCCCGGCTGATTTTTGATTGATTGTAGAGATGAGGTCTCGCCAAGTTGCCCAGGTGGGTCTCGAACCCACGGGCTCAGGCCATCCACTCACCTCAGCCTCCCAAAGCACGGGATTACAGGCTGAGCCACCGAGCCCGGCGTGTATATTTTTTCAACAGAGAAATTTATGTCAACACATAAGACTGGCCAGGCGTGGTAGCTCAAGCCTGTAATCTCAGCATTTTGGGAGATTGAGGTGAGAGGATTACGTGAGCCCACGGGTTCAAGACCAGCCTGGGCAACATGGTGAGACCTTGTCTCTACACTAAATTAAAAAATTAGCCGGGTGTGGTAGTGAGCACCTGTAGTTCTGGCTCCTTGGAAGGCTGAAGTGGAAGGATGGCCGGAACCCGGCAGGTTGATGCTGGGATGGCCACGAGCATGCCACTGCATTCCAGTGGGTGAAAGAGTGAGACTCCAACTCAAAAAAAAAAAAACAACCAACAAGACTTTGATCGTCCTTGGTCCTCTTTGCTATCTTCCACTTCTTTTATTCTCTAAGTACAGGTATTCTGTATTGTCTTCACTCTCGAGTTGTTACTTCCATAGAAGACTATCAAATTTAGAACTTAAATTATTTCTTCTCATCTTGGTACTGATGTAACTAGTGGACTTTTCAACTGGAACCTTCCACTGTCCCCTAGAACTATGCTAGCTTCTTCTCTAGTCTTCCTGACTTTCACGCTTATAGCTGTGATTGCCTCTTGCCACATCATGTTTCTCTCTTTCATCTTTTCCCTCTTGTATGTTCATATGGTATTTGAATCCTTGGGCAGCTTGCTTACTACTTATCCAACTTTATTTCTCATTTTTACTAATCACATGGATTTAATCAAACATTAACTTTATTTCGAGAATTTTCTTTCCGTTTCCACTTTCACATATATCCTCATACAGTTCTCTTTTTGTGGTATGCTTTTTCTTCCCTTCTTTACTATTCAAGTCAACCCATTTTTAAATGTTCAAAATTCTCTTTTCTCTACAAAGTGTTCCATCTAGTAATGTTATTATCAATAGCTCTAGTTGTTTTTAGATTTGAGTCATAAAGTGACTTTTAAAAAATGTTGCAGAATTATGCATCCACTTGAGTATTTTTCCCTTCAGAATATTCTCTTAGGGAACTGAACATTCCTACCATTTTTAGAGCTTCTTGCTGGCTTCTAGAATACATTGCACATGGTTTTGAAAATCTCCAGTGGTGGCAAATCATTGTCCTTCTAAGTTAAACCTGATTTTTAGAGACAGTGTTATTCAAGGTATCAGAAACAGTATTTTGGGTCATAAGCAAGATGTAAGAGAGAATCCAAACTACCAAGTAGTATGGTATATCAAGAGCTCTCTAAATAGGTAGTTAGACAAAAAGAGAATTACCAGGGAAAGATGTAAGGACTAAAAAATACCACCACGCCCACCACCATGACCAAAAAAAAAAAAAAAAAAAAACACCTGCCAAAAAAAAAAGAAAAAGAAAAAAGAGAGAAAGGCCATCTGCAATGACAATTATTAATAATTGTTTTGGCAGGCAGGAAGGAAATAGAATCAGACAGGTAGTTCAGTTAGAGAGGCCTCAAATATCTGTTATAACAAAGCTGAGAAACACAGGAGAGACAGAAAAGACAGACATTTCTGGTAAGAAGTTTTGAAGAATCAAAAGCTCAAATTTTATAGGAGGAAAGTAAAATTATGAAAACATTAGAAAGAATGAATGGTAAATTGCAATCCATGACCAGGTGAATGGAAGAAACAGAAAACATCTGGACACAATGTGGCATGAAGCAAAAGTGAGATTCTTTAGTTGAGCGACGATGAAACTCATTTATTACAACAAATCATTATTTCTCTGTTTATAAAAATGCAAAGAGAAAGAAAAAAGAATAGAAAAGTAATAAGGAAAATAACCAGAGCAATTCTCTTAATTGAATAGATTAGAGATAGAATTATTACTGAAAAACTTGACATGAAGCCTGAGAAGATTGATTTAAACAAAGAACAAAGATACGCCTAATGAGCTGAGTCAAGGCTTTAAAAATATAATTCAAAGAATCACATTTTAATTATTTGTTTCTATGATTTAAAGGAATCTTAATGTTTCTAAATCTTGTAGCACTCATAGTAATATGCTTTTTAAAAAGCATGTTTTCCAAAATCTAAAGGCAAATGATTGAAAACATGAGGAAATGGGAGCACAGCCTCAGACATGGCCCTCAACTAAAAGGTGTCCACGGTAAGGTTTATAACCTTTACAAAACCAAGAGATCCACAATTATTCAGATTTAATCTTGGATTTAAGGTCTTTGCAGTACTGTTAGGTGGAAATTTTAAATGAGTGGACATTTTTTAAAATGTCAACTTCAAGATTAGGAAAGATACAAGGGAAGGAAAGGGAAGCTTGTTAGCTTTGATTATTTCATTAGTTTCTCTAGTGTGAGGAAGGAATAAAATTTTATGTTTGTCTTATAGACAAGAGAGGAACACAGAGAGAAATAGATAAGAAAAATTTTTGAAAGTAAATACTTTATGCAACTGTTAATCTCTTCACCGCTATTTTATTTCAGTTTCGTCCATGCTTTGTTAGTTATCTTTTATCCTTTAATAATAGTTTACTAATTCTTTAGAAGTGACAAACATAAGCATTTATTAATATGTTGCAAGTTAAAAGAAATTTCTTTACAAGCTAAAATATTTATTAAAAAAAAACCAGAGAGACTACAGTATATAGGGCAGACTGACCACAAAAGGAGATTTAGATAAAGTTATTAATGATACTATTTAAAAAATTAAATGCAAAACAAGATTCTAGAAGAAACACATATAACTGACTTAAAGATGCCAATGGAAATTCCTGTATGCACATCAGCTGGAAATATGAGTAGTTGAAATATTTCATAATATCCATACATTGTAACCAGAAATAAAAACTATAATGACATATACCAGAATCATAGCAGTTAAATAAGAGCTTTGTTTCATATTCAAGATACATTTAAATTTATTTTTCAATAGTGGAGAACATTCAGGAGGATATTATAAACATGCATAATGAAATAATAACATTTACTCAATATTTTTGGAGATATGCGTAAAAATTTAGGAAGAAAATTAAATAAACATTGCAAGCAACAATATTGTTATAGTGTGTTATAAGCTATAAAGACAACTATAAGTGCATAGTTCAACAGCAATTATTAACTAATTTTAAGGAACTAGAAATATCAGATATGGAAAATTTGTGGCAATTAGAAATTCTAGCCATGGTGGAATACAAAATTATGGTCTAGAGATTATAGAAAATTCCCACTCATTTATATATAGTATTGTCATAATTTCATGCATCTTACAAAAATATAACTAGGAAAATCTTAAAATGAAAAGCCAACATCATTGAAGGGCTTAATGGGAAATAGGAAAAACAGAATGGGATAAGTTTAAAATTTGAAAACACAAATCCATGTCCCTTTTCCCTAACAGGTAATATATATGTGGGTTTTCTAGATCTTGCCTCCTAAATAGTTCTTGAATCTGTATCTCAAGATGAGCCATAGTTGTGTTTTGACTCTTAGGATAACAGTTGCTTGTATCTTATCCCCCTTCATTTCATCCCTCGATCCCTCTTTCCCTTTTCTTCTTCCCCCTTTCCAATCTTATCTCTTTCTTATCTCTTCTCCACACTGGGTTTTGAGTGTATTTGAAAAAAGCAAATCCGATCTTGTGCTGAAAAAATGTTAGTTGACTGCTTATTATGGATTGAAAGAAATATTTTCATGATATGATATACTCCGGTGTATATTTTATATTCAAATTTGAATATGAATTTGTAGAATTTGAGTGAAAATATTAGTTCTACTTCACATTTTTGTTGAACCTGAACATTTATAGGTTCCTTTTATGTTATCTTATTAAATCTTCAGATCAACATAAAAATCAACTAGTTATTATTATTATTATTATTATTTTGCCTTCTTCCGATTTTATGGACTGGATACAGTTCTTAGATTACAGATTTTTAAAAAATATGGGCCTTGCAAGTGTAATTAATTATGAGGGTGCCTGCAAGCCTCTGTAAATAGGTACTTTATGAATTATGTTCATAATTATATTAGTACAATGTCTGGCCCACAGCAGGTAATTCATAAATATTTTTCATTGAATGAGTTAGGTTATATTCAATTGCAAGTAATAAAAGACTCAACTCAAAATGATTTAAATAATAAAGCCATTTATCATCCTCCATGACAAAAAACCTGGTGTTCTACAGCTCAATGAATTCTTCAGGGAACCATGCTTTTTCAATCTTTCTGCTTTGTAACCTTCAGCATGTGACTGAATCATGACTACACTCAATAAATGGCCCAGTTGCAACCTACTTTTTGCTGCTTGGTTTTTGTTTGTTTTTCAACAATAATAATAATAATAGCTTTTTGTTTATTCAGCACTTCCTTCAGGATTAGGTATATTCTATACATATATTTTCCTATTTTACTTACCTGACTAATGTAAGCACAAAACTAACTTCAGTGATATAAAATAATTTCTTTCCTTCCACATCTGGGATTAAAAAAAAAAAAACGGAATTGAAACTTCTGTAACATAAAAGTACCATTTTAAAGTTTATAATTCAGTTGCATTTAACTGCATTGTACAACCAATACCTCTGTATAGTTCCAAAACATTTTATCACCCCGAGAGAAAACTCTGTACCCATTAACGAGTCACTCCCTATTCTCCCCTTCCCTACCTAATCCCCTGTCAATCATCAATCTGCTTTTCATCTGTATGGATTTACCTATTCTGAATATTCAAATCCGTGGAGTTATTATTGATAATATGTGCCTTTATGTCTGGCTTCTTTCACTTAGCATGTTTTTGGGGTTCATCCATGTTGTAGCATGTGTCAGTATTTCATTCCTTGTTATGACCTAGTAAAAGTCTATCATATGTCTATAGCACATTTTATTTAACTATCCATCCACTGATGAACATTTAAGTTGTTTCCATCCATTGACTTTTGGAAACAACGCTACTATGAACATGTGTTTGAGTACCTGTTTTAATTCTTTTGGCTATTGATATCTAGAAGTAGAATTCCTGGATTATATGATAGTTCTATGTTTAACTTTTTACACCATTTTATAATCCCACCAGGAGTGTGAGAGAGTTACAACTTCACCGTATCCTCATCAACACTTATTTTAAGGTTTTTTGGAGTAAACCATCCTGGTGGGTGTGAAGTGGTATCTCATTGTGATTTTGATTTGCATTTTCCTAATGACCAGTGATGTTGAACATCTTTTCTTATGCATGTTGGCCATTGTTGCTACTTCTTATAAACTCTTGTTCAGCCAAATCCTAATTCCGGCTCCCTGCCAAATCCTTTGCTTATGCTTTGCCTCATTGAGTTGCCATGCTTCTGTCATACTCAAGGCACCTTCTCTTTCCTCTATGAAGTCTCTCTAATATTTCTAGGTTGCAGACAATAAGTACTATTGTACTATAAGTACTGTGATCATGTATCAGCTCTCTTGTATGTTTATGACTTCCAAATTATATTTTTCTCAATTATATATAAATATAAATCATTTCTTTCAATCATTTAATAAATTGAGAGTCTCACTGGACTCAAATATGTATTATGTTGCTTATTATTAATTTTTTTTGGGAAAGCAGGATTTGTTGAGAGGACAGAAAAGCTCCCAGAGTGAGAGGGGACCAGAGAGGGTTGCCCTGACTATTTGTTTTATGTATTGAAGGTGTATTAAGGAGAGTGCATTAATGGTGCTAGACCTAGAATTAATAAGTAATTTTGATGTATTTGGGTTTATGTGTTAGTTAATTAATTTTCTATGGGGAGAAGAGAAAGAAGTAGGAAATCGGGTGTTCATCTCTACCAGGGTTTCTCAACCTCAGCACTGTTGATATTTTGGGCCCATAATTTTTTGTTATGGGGATTGCCCTTTGCATTATGGGATGTTTAGCAGTGTTCCTGCTCCTCACCTGCTTAGATACCAGTATCCTCCATTTGTAATGAACAAAAGTATTTCCAGACTTTGACAAATTCCCCTGGGCACACAATTATTCTTTCCTCCCTCCAGTTGTGAAACTCTGATCTACACCACCAAAACTCTCTAATTTTTATTTTGAAAACTAACCCAGAATTTAAGAGAATTCTAGGAATGAAAACAAAACAACCATGGTTTTTATAGACATATGTGCTGTTTTGAAAAGCAGATATTTTATAAGTAGGGAAGAAAAGATTTTGGTTTGGGAGCCTGTTTGAACATTTTGAAAAATAAATCTTATGACTCTAGTTATATTAACTCTAATAACTGTAGATACACTTAATTTTAGATATTGATAAGTTTTTTATTTTTTAATTTTTTTTCCTCTTTTTAAAATTTTTTTCCAGGTTATTATGACAACACCATTTTTCATAGAGTTGTACCTGGTTTTATAGTCCAGGGGGGAGATCCTACTGGTACAGGGACTGGTGGAGAGTCTATGTACGGAGCCCCATTCAAAGTAAGACTAAATTATTACTATTATTATTATTATTTTCAAATCAGCTTGGATTGCTTAATCAAAAATGACTATATCCCACAAAAGGAAGAAAAAAATGTCACATTAGTCTACAAAATCAGGCAGGTGTCTGTTACATATTTGGGATTATACAGATATAGAATAACACTTACTCTCTCAGGCATTCTTTCTAAGCTGCTTATTGCAAGCTTTAATGCTAGATTAAGTTCAGATGGAGCTAAGGGCAGTAGTAAAAAATGTGATTCAGAAAAAAGACTACATAGCATATTTTCTGGCGTCTGACTGTATCTAGTCTCTGCAACTTTGTAAAATGTGAAAACATTTTTAGAACATTGCATATGCTATCTTATTTAAAACAGTCTATTTAGACACTGCATGGAATCTGTAGTAGTCTGCTCAGGCTGCTGTAACAAAATGCCACTGTCTGGGTAGCTTACACAACAGGAATTTTTTTTAACAGTTCTGGAAGCTGAGAAGTCCAAAATCAGGCTGTCCACCCATTTCGTTCCTGGTGAGGTCTCTTCCTGGCTTCCAGATGACTGCCTTCTCTGAAGTCCTCACAGGGGAAAAGAGACAGAGCTCTGAGGATACCAACCCTATTGGATTAGGGCCCCATCCTCATGAACTCATTTAACGTTTGTCATCTTTATGATTGATGACTTTTATCACCTCCTCACAGGTCCAAATATACTGATATTGTGGGTTAGAGCTTTAGCATATAAATGTGGGGGGAGACACAATTTGTCCATAGCAGAATTTATTCTAAATGTTACATGGTAGATCTCTGCTGCCCAAAATATATGCCACAGTGGAAAATCACAAGGAGAACAGAAGAAAAAAGCAACATAAAAAAGGCTAGAAAAAGGTGTATTAATCAAGAATAGGTCAGTGATTTCTTAACTGCTAACACAGAAGTAAAAAGAAAAAGAGTTAATGTCATAGTTAAGATTTTAGAACAATAGTGTGTTCAAGTAAAAGCTAAAAGTTGTGTTTATTACTTATCTTATTGTATCAGTATCATGTTCTTTGAATGAATAAACATTGATGGCTTTTAAAATATGGGAGGTTTTGAAAACTTTGTTTTAATGGGATAGTGCCTGGAGTTTCCTTTTATCTTTTACTGAGTCACTGTTTGATTCTTGAAAAAAATACTTGAACTATTTCCTTTAATTTCCAGATGATAATAGCCTTAGAAAATGTGAAATGATTATAAAAAAGTCTCAATGTCACTGTTAGACTATTTTATATTTTACCGAGGTGAGACTTCTCGTGATTTAGAGCTTCTGTCTAGTAGGGAGCATTCTTTTATTTGGTGTAATAGAATAGCTCTTTTTAATAATTCCTTTCTAGCTTGAGAGTTTTGCTTTATATCTTGGGGTAATACAGTTATCTCTTTAAGTTTTTCAATTAGATCAGTTTGAATGTAGTATCTGGTGTTATGATCCATTGTGTTCAGATCCCTTGAGAATTGTTTATTAAGGAAAAATAACTTCCTTTGTGAAAAGCACTGATTACATAACATGGCTACAATATAAGTGAATGGATAAAAATAATTCATTATACAACTTCAGGTCTGAATGGAAAGTCTAAAAGGCTAATGTATTTGTTAAGTAGCCCTATCATGGCAAGACAACTACCTTTGAAAGGCTTGTTCCTGTTATTTTGAAAAATGACAAATAGTGCCTTGCCAGTTCAATGAAGATTCTACTTTACTTTAAGGAGCACAATAAAATCACATAACATAATCATAGTTGATTCCTTGAATTAAAAAATAAGGAGAAAACAATTGTTTCATAACAGTGACATTGGATGAGGAGGAGCAATAGTTGAAGACTGCAATGGTTCAAAGGTGGTTTTATTGGAGAAATAATAGAAGATCTTAAAAGCTTAAATGACTAAGGGATGAGAATAGGCATATGACTTTTAGAAATTCATTCCCCTTTGAGTACACTTCCTTTATGTGTAAGTATGCAGCTTTCCACAAAATGGCTATATTTTTGGCTGAGTATATTTAGAAGATACATGCTAGTGAATTTAAATTTAGTAGCATTGAAAGAATAGTAAATTCTTGAGTATCAGTTAAATAAAACTTCACCATTTTATTATTAGAAGTTATATGAGACCTTCTGGTATATAAGACCTTCTGGTCAACTGAATAACTGAACGTGAAAGGTCGTATAATAGTATGGTCACTAAATATTTTTTATGTTTCAGGATGAATTTCACTCACGGTTGCGCTTTAATCGGAGAGGCCTGGTTGCCATGGCAAATGCTGGTTCTCATGATAATGGCAGTCAGTTTTTCTTTACGCTGGGTCGAGCTGATGAACTTAACAATAAGCACACCATCTTTGGAAAGGTTAGTGTCCGATTATCTTTTTTTTTTTTTTTTTTGAGTTGGAGTCTCACTCTGTCGCCCAGACTGGAGTGCAGTGGCCGCTCCCGGCCACTGCAGCCTCGACCTGCTGGGCTCCGACTATCCTTCCGCCTCAGCCTTCCAAGTAGCTGGAACTACTACGGCTACCACGGCAGGCTAATTTTTTTTTTTTTTTGATCTATTATAGAGATGAGTTCTTGCCAAGTTGCCCAGGTGGGTCTCGAACCCAGGGGCTCAGGCAGTCCACTTACCTCAGCCTCCCAAAGCACGAGATTACAGGCTGAGCCACCAAGCCCGGCTAGTGTCCGATTATTTTAATCTTGTGGTTTGATTTTTGGTTTTGTGTTATTCTTTAGGCTTCTCTGGTACGTTTAATCAGCTTATCTAAGAGCAGCTATCATAAAAATTTTTCCTATTATTTTAAAAAATGATGGTATATGTTCCTTTTATAGAGATCTATGAGGAACCACCTGAATTCTTTTTGTGTGTTTCAAATCAGTCATTACTTATGACTTTCATGTTTTCTTTCTTAAAAATCAAACTATTGATATTAGCTACTATGCCACTCAGCCAATATTGTTTTTGCATTTTTTGGAACGACACTTGGGTAATAACATTTAGTAATTCAAAGTTTATTTTCTTAAAGATGAATTTCCTTAAACTTAAAGCAAAAAGTGGGTTGACATTGAAACTTATTATGGGAAATATTACCATGAATAATACTTATTTAACTCTGCTTACACTTAATGTCATATCAGGAATTATCTTTTCTATATAATTTTCCACAATTTTCTTTACAAAGGGATTCTGAAGGTTTTCCTCTTTCACTCTTGTCCCTCCTCATAAATATATTCCCAAACGTTTTAAGTCTTAGGCATATTAGATATCACTAGTGTATCAGCTCCCTCTGCTGGTTCAGTAAGAATGATTTTCCTATATCCTCGACAAAACTGGATTTTGTGATGACAAAAAGGGAAAAACAAAATTAGTACAACTGGAAAACTGGTGGTATTTTAAAACTGTTGAGAAATACTGATTGAAAGAGATCACACGAAAACCATGAAATACAATATTGTTGCTTAATACTTAACAACAGGGGTTAGCAAGTGGGAAATGGCATATTCTTTTGAGCCACTCCAACACAAGTTGTCTGATGTTCATAGATTCTCCCCCCTCATTATTTTTAAAAAACAAGAGGGTAAAATAAAATGAGATTCAAGTTGCCATTATGTACTTTTTATTTTACAATTGATATTATGTAATTTATACATTAGAGACAATGTATAACTTAGTGATTAGAGAGAACGACCTTCACTTTTGGCTCTTTCTTCTTTGAGCTTCAATTTTCTTATCTGTAGAAGGAGGATAAAGATAGTTCTTACTTTTAGGATGTTTGTGAGGATTAAATGAGATAATATCTGCAAGGCATTTACCACATTGTTATTATGTGCTTACTGTATTGTATTCTGAAGTCTATATTTGTTTATACTGTTAGAATGTAGGAAGTTATTTGGCATTATATTTTTATTTTTAATAAAAACTGATATTAAGCATATATTGGAAATCTTCCAGAAAGCTTATTGAGGGATTGAATTTCATCAGTATGTTCCCCCCTCAAGATAAAGTTGCTTTATTTGCATTTTTTAATATATATACTCTTATGTAATAATATGAAATTTTCTTTTAATTATTTTAAATTATTTTTCTTTAATTATTTTAAATTATTTTCTAAATTTCCCTTTTAATTTGAAGGATGAAAGCAATAATGTGAAATTACACTTTATATCTTTATTTGTTAGGTTACAGGGGATACAATATATAACATGCTGCGACTGACAGAAGTAGACATTGATGACGAAGAAAGACCACGTAATCCACACAAAATAAAAAGTTGTGAGGTAGGAACAAGATTATTATGAGGTTTAGTATATAAATTGTCAGTTAAGAGGAATTGCTTGTTATTAATTAGTATTTTTAAACTATTGATTGAAAGCTTTATACAATATTAGCATCACAACTCAAATTTTATTTCTAATTTATTTAAGCACTTTATTTTTTTGTGTATGAGTCAAGGTCTCTGTCATTCAGGCTGATGTGCAGTGGCATGGCTCACCATTTCCTTGAACTCCTGGGCTCAGATGATCTTTCCTTGTTTGCCTCCCAAGTAGCTGGGACTACAGACACACAACACCATGCCTGGCTAATTTTTTTATTTTTGTAGAGATGAGGTGTCACTATGTTGCCTAGGCTGGTCTCGAACTCCTGTGCTCAATCCTCCCTCCTTGGGCTACCAAAGTGTTGGGATTACAGGCGTGAGTGACCATACCAGCCTAGACATAATTTCTGATTAGGAGTTATTTTTTTCAGTTAAAAGTTCTACATTCAAATATGAAACTTTAGCTTATAATACAATGACTGAAAAGCTTTATTCATAATAGAAAGTTAGAGGAATTATGTTTATTTAACCCAGAGAAGTAACTTCATAGGTAATTTAAGAGTGATCCTTTGGTCGAGCTTGGTGGCCCAGTTTGTAATCCCAGCCACTTTGGAAGAACCGAGGCGAATGGATTGCCTGAACCTGCGGGTTTGAGACCAGCCCGGGCAACTTGGCGAGACCTCATCTCTACCATAAATAAATAAATAATTAGCTGTGCACCTGTAGTTTTGGCTACTTGGAAGGCTGAGGCGGAAGGATTGCCTGAGCCCAGCGGGCCAAGGCTGTGGTGGCTGTAAGCATGCCACTGCACTCCAGCCTGGGTGTCAGAGTGAGACTCCAACTCAAAACAAAAAAAGAGTGATCCTTCATTAAGGAATCAAAGTCCTTAGGGCATTTGATTTGGGGTCAAACACCTGAGTTGGTCATGCTTACTATGTATCATTTAAGCTTTCTTAAATATTTTTCCCTTATGCAAAAAAAAGGATAAAATATTCCTTACTTAATAGCACATGGGATTATTGGGAGAATTTAGTAAGGCCATATAAGTGGAATCACTTTGTGTATTATATATACAAGGAGGCCAGAAAAAAACCAGAATTAATTCATTGAAAAATTGTGTATTCTTACATGTTTAAACTTTAGTCACCTTCAAAGTACTCTCTGTTTGATGCAATACATCTATCAAGACTCATTTTCCACTGCTCAAAACAGTTTTTGAACTTGTCAATTTTGATGTCTTTTAGTGCTTCTGCTGTTTTTCATTTCGTCTCTTCCACATCAGCAAAACGTTTCCTTTTGAGGCCTTTTTCATCCAGGGAAACAAAAAAAAGTTGCTCAGGGCAGGATCGGGTGGATACGGAGGCAGGGACATAGGGGTCTTGTGTTTTTTGATCAAAAACTGCTGACCACTCAGTGTGGTGTGGGCAAGTGCACCCATAAATCTCCCATCATGAAATGGGCAAACACGTTGAAAGAATCACGCCCCCTCCAAAAACAACAATTCGCTGAAGCCAAAGCGGCCTCTCACAACAACACTAGCTGGTACACTGATGCTCATGGGTTCCTAGAATGCTTACCTGGCAGGGGAAGCCTGTGCTACAAGGGACCAGTCCTCCAAAAGATGATTCCGTTTTCTGGGGAGTTACTATGCTAGTAATGTTTATGTGGGGGGAAAATATAGACGTTATGCCCATGCAATTAAATACTGTTGTTTTTGTGGGAAATTTAAAAAATGAAATAATGTATTCAAAGTATTTCTTTTCATAGGTTTTGTTTAATCCTTTTGATGACATCATCCCAAGGGAAATAAAAAAACCGAAAAAAGAGAAACCAGAAGAGGAAGTAAAGAAACTGAAACCCAAAGGCACAAAGTAATTATAGTAGAAGAATTTTTCTTCAACTTGAAAAACAACACTGATTAATTTAGTTTATTTTATTTCCTTTTGTAATAATTGTTTACTGGCAAGAGAAAGGCCGTTTTGAGTCAGGGAGATTTCAGAATTGTGAGAGAGAGAGAGTATGTGTATGTGTGTGTTTTAATGAGTATTTCTTGTATTCACATATAGTATATCTTAAGTTAAAAATGTGTTATCTCAGTTTTCCACATGAAATCTTTGTTAATAAATACATCAATATTTTATGATCCTTATATTAATTGCATAAATGAGCTATTGAGAAACCTTTCTTTTTTGCTTATTTTTAAATTAATATATGCTCACTCAGTACAAGGAATTTGGAAAGTAGAGAAAAGCATAAATATTTTGAATGACTGCATGATTGCATGCCTTATTTAATTTTTTCACTCCTTTTTTGTGCTATTAAATAATCTTATTAAAAATACTTTAAAGTCTAAAGCTGTTTCATTCAGCATTCTAGATTATTTCCTGAAGATAGTTTTCTAAAAAATAGAAATTTAAAAACTCAGGATTTTATGACAATATATTGTTAGTATTGTCTGTTTTATTAAAATAGATTTCACCTTTTTTTTTTTACTGAATTGTAGGATCCTTATTAGTGATTTTATAAAGGTTAGATTCAGGCAATTCTAGGTTTGATCCTGCCAGACCCAGTTAATAAGAAGCAAAGTTTATTCATCTTTCTGAGGTTCAATTGCCTCTTCCTGTAAAATGCTGATTATAAGTATAACACCTGGTTGTTATGAAGATTAAATGAGGAGTATGTGAAAACACCCAATAATGTAGGTGTCAATACATATTATTTTTTCTTGATATAGTACAAAGTAAGTAAGTTAAGTGGCTTTATAAACTGTAAGACATGATCCAGACACTTTGATAAGCACTTGATTCCTTGTGGCAAAATAATTTCTTATATAGTAGTATATTTGATTTTTAAAATTTTTTGATTAATTTATTTTGACTATCTCTGAATGAAAGTTCACTGTCACTATATTTATATACAGTGTTTTATCACTATGATGTATCTTGACAATAAACTCAAGTTGGGGTTTTCTTGTTTTTTGTTTTGTTGAGAGCAGATATGTTAGGGATAATGAGGTGACCATTGCTTACATCCAGATTTTGAAAAAAGATTCTCTTTTCTTGTCAAATCTTGAATTATTTTATTTTATTTTATTTTATTTTGAGTGTGAGTCTCATTCCATTGCCCGGGCTGGAGGGCAGTGGCATACTCACAGCCACCTCAGCATCGACCTGCTGGGTTCTGGCCATCCTTCCGCCTCAGCTTCCGAGTAGCCGGAACTATAGACACGTGTTACCATACCCGGCTAATTTTTTGATTTTTTTTTTTTTCCTCACCAAGTTGCCCGGGCTGGTCTCGAACCCGTGGGCTCAGGCAATCCACTCGCTTCGGCCTCCCAAAGTGCTGGGATTATAGGCTGAGCCACTTAACCTGGGCTTGAATTTTTTTAATATTTATGAGAGAGTTAAGTAACTTATTATCTTACTTGAGAGTTCTTTTTTTTGAAGGATCAAAAGAGAGATAAACTTAGTTTTTTCTCCCTTTGGGCTATTGCAGTTGTTTTTTGCTCATATGTATATATTTTCTTGTCTGACAATTTTGTGTACCTTATTAATTTTAAAATATTGAAACATATTTTGCCAAATGATTAATTGTTTCCCATTTGCCATGCTCAGGGCTATGTATGTATTAATTTTTTGGACATCTGTATTTTACTTCCAGTTTTGATAAATATAAAAAAGCCTAATTATTTCTGTCATGCTTTATTGAGTGCATCTAATGGTAATGCTCAGAATGGATCATTTTGTCATTAGTTTAATATAATGTATGAAACATTGGTGGTCTTAGGTCAAAGCCTTAACATGACACTGAAAATATAGTTACTTAGTATACTTCGCTGAATACTAAATAATATTGTCTTTTTAAAAACAGAATGTATTTCTTCTTGTAAATTCTGTTCCATTGCTTTGAAAATAAATATTCACAAGTTTTGTTTAATGCTTTTCTTTCTTTTCCCCCCTTTTTCTTCTTTTTTTTTTTTTTTTAAATTTACTAGAAATTTTAGTTTACTTTCATTTGGAGAGGAAGCCGAGGAAGAAGAGGAGGAAGTAAATCGAGTTAGTCGGGTAATCTCTAATTTGGCCTTTGTTCTGAATTATAAAAGAGATTAAGGTCTATATCTTACACTTTTTTGTATCTCCTGCTATACCTGACATAGCATATTTTACATGATACACACTCAACAGTGTTCATTTGTGGTCAGTAATATTTGCAACTTCTAAGGTTATTTGTCCTCTTAAACTTTTAGTGTTTAATTTATTTTTAATCTTGGCATTAAAAAAAATCTATTTGAACTAGACTTAAAGTTTTATGAATGGCTCAACTTTATGCTTCAGATTTTAATTGCTACTTGCTTAATTGGTTTGATGAATTATAATGAACATAAGACCAAAACTCTTATGGTATTCATTTTAATGTTATTTATATATGTTTTATTTCATTAGTTTTCATCACAGTCCTTTGAAATGTGTTATCATTATCCTCATTTTACTTATGAATACATTCTGCTATAGATAGGTTATAATTTGTTCAAAGTCATATAGCCAGTAAATAGCTACAGCTGAAAATTTCTGACTATAAAATTCATGTCTTTGGATAATACATTGCCTCCCGGCCTTTTACTCCAACCATTAGCCTTTAAGTATGACTTTTTTTTTTTTTTTTTTTTTTTTTTTTTGAGTTGGAGTCTCACTCTGTCGCCCAGACTGGAGTGCAGTGGCCGCTCCCGGCCACCGCAGCCTCGACCTGCTGGGCTCCGGCGATCCTTCCGCCTCAGCCTTCCGAGTAGCCAGAATTACAGGCATGTGCTACCACGCCCGGCTGATTTTTTGATTTATTGTAGAGATGAGGTCTCGCTGCCCAGGCGGGACTCGAACCCGCGGGCTCAGGCAATTCACTCATCTCAGCCTCCCAAAGGCGCGGGATTACAGGCTGAGCCACCGAGCCCGGCTAAGTATGACTTTTTTCAATATCATGTGTGTCACAATATTCACTGCTGAAACACAGTGTCTTTCCTTTTTTTTTAGAGCAGTGATTCTGGTGTGTATACACCAAAAAAATAATCCTCAGGGATTTTTACTTCCAGAGGTTCTGATGTGCCTTCCTTTTTTGAAAAAATAGGGAATAGTGAGACCCAAAGGATGAGGTTCAAAGTCTTTATTGTAGTCATTAAATCTCTCTAACCTGGCACTGCCTTACTTGCTTAACGTAGTCATCTGTTTCTTACCAACACTAACAATAATATAGACTTAAAAGCACACCATTGTTACTTTTCTTCTATATCCATGCGCTTTCTTTATTCCATGAGCATGATTTTGGTAGGCTAACGTTGGGCACATAGTAAGCACTCTCTTTATACCCTTTGCAATAAAACTGAATTAAAATGGGCATATTTAAGAAATATTTTGGTTACAATTTTTTCTTGCTTTTGACAGTATCCTTGAGTGGTCTGTTTGATACCATAGATTCAGTTACCACCTACCTGTACACCAACATTCTAAACTCTAAAATATAAGGCCAAATATTTCCTTTGCTGTAATCTCTCATTCTGACTTGCTTTAGAAAATATCTCGGCTAGGCTCGGTGGCTCAGCCTGTAATCCCAGCAATCTGGGAGGCCTAGGCGAGTGGATTACCTGAGCCCGTGGGTTTGAGACCAGCCCGGGCAATTTGGTGAGACCGCCTCTCTACAATAAATCAAAAGTCAGCCAGGCGTGGTAGCTTGCGCTTGTAGTTCTGGCTATTTGGAAGGCTGAGGCGGAAGGATCACCGGAGTCCAGCAGGTCGACACTGGGGTGACCCTGAGCATGCCACTGCATTCCAGCCTGGGCCACAGAATGAGATTCCAATTCAAAAAAAGAAAAAGAAAAGAAACGAAAATATCTCTACTTTAGATGTCAAAACTAAATTTATTTTTACACAAAAACCTCCTTTTTCTATTCCAACATCATCAATCACTCTGTCACCATGATATCTCGAGTCATCAATATCTCAGGAATGGCATGTCATTCTTTAGATGTCAGCGCACTAGTCTTGCATTGCTTATGATTCAAATTTGTGCCTCATCAAAATGAAAGATTTACTATATGTCATGATTCTGCAGGTATATTTGTGAATGGACAAAATCATGAATGTTACATTTGGAAATTGCCAGAGTTTCCTTTTATTGATGTTTTCTAAAGATGTCAACTTTCCTTGCATACTCAAGGCTTCCCTACAGTTCTCACACCCGTTCTCCTTTTTGCTGGAGTGTGCTCTGTCCTATATTTGTCTACTTTTTGTTTTTCCTTTAAGATTTAGCTCCACTCTCATTTTCTTGCTACTTCTACCTCCCTTCCCACAAAACTCCCACCAAGGCTAAGCTAGGTGCTTCTTTCCATAGTAATCTGTCTATAGCCATCAAAGCAATTATCATATTGCATTATAATGATTTTATTTCTTGTCTGCTAACTGTGCTAAATATTTATTTTATGTGATCTCTGTAACAACCATGTGATATAGATGTCATTATTCCTATTTTGAAGATTTTAAAAAAGCAATACTGAGTTAAATTACTGTTCAAGATTATGTAATCAGGAGGTGGTAGTATCAGAATTTTTAACTTAGGTTTTTATAGCTATTTAAGTCTCTGATATGATTGTGAATGCTACAGAATCTGTCTCCTTCAAGCCCAAGCCATCTAAAAGGCTGTTGAAAAATATTCACTGATAGCATTGCATTCTGGGGTAGAAAGCAGCCGAGCTCAGTGCAATTGGCCCATTGCCCCTTCGTAACTCCCAATAGGGTCCTGGACAGTAGGTTGACCGGCCATGGAAAGCAAGGGTCGGAGAGAGAAGTTTTTCTGCCCATCTTTTTGTTTAAATAAAATTTTAGGCCTGAAATAAGTTTTGTTCACAGTTACTTTGAGATTTACTTCACAAGGAAATTACCTTGAATTTTCTCTATTTGTAACAGCAGCATGTGTTAAGTGTTCAAATTTATCTTCCTTCTGCTGTTTTATATTGTAAACTATAAAGAGTGATATGTTTGAATTATACTGAATATTGTGAACTTGCACTCCAAAAGCAATTTGAGTTTGCTTTAATATTGAAATGCTCAAGGATACCACCACAGATGGTGCTGGCTTGTTCTTTATTTTCTTTCTTAAACCTGAGAAGCAATTTAGACCGTTTAGAAAGACTAAGTAAAATCTTTCAGTTCAGCCAAGAAAATTACAACCCACACACAGTCCATTATCAAATGAATATTATTATCCTAGTATTGTCATCATATTTTTTCTCATCTGACTCTTTAATGGAGGATGCTTTGTGATAAAATTTCCATCAAATGCTTGTAGCTGACTCTCACATCTAGACCTCTAAACTGACTTATTCTTCTTTTTTCCAGGTGCCTACTGGACACCTCTCTTTAAATCTCTCACTAGGTACTCAAGCCATGACTAAGGCTTAACTCCTTATTTTTTCTTCCCAAACTTCTTGTTTTATGACTTCTTTCAATTCCCTGCTGCCAATATCCTCCAAAGAAGAACTTTAGGTTCAGTTCTGACCTTTTTCCCTAACTTTTTCTCTGAGGTATTCTAGTAAATTTTCATTCAGGATGTATCTCAAATCTCATTTTTCCTTGTAGTTTATTTGGCTACTACCCTTGTTCAGGCCTTCATTATCTCTAGGCTGGACTATTGTAGTAGTCTACAGACTGATCTCCCGTCTCCCTTCTCTCTTTTTCCTTCCACTACTAGAGTAGTCTTCCTGAGGCTTAAGATGTTACTGTTTCTCTCTCTTGACTGTAAAAATCAAGCTAACTTTCTTGGCCTGTTATTGCAAGACTAACTCCCCTTCACCAACTCTGCCCTTCATCCTAGTACTTTCTCAACTTTCCTGCTGATTAAAATCACTTGTGGTACGTTTAAAAATTAAGATTTCTGGGTACCATCTCAGACTCACCGAGTCAAAATTTCCAAGGAAGAGATCTGGGAAGCTGTACTTTTAATTCATTCCCCTGGAATGTATACCACGGAAATGTAGGAACTACTGCATTAGCAGATCTGAATATGTATGTATTTATGTGCCTTTTCTTTTTCTTTTGCTTTTTTTCCCTCTTTGTTTATGTTCTTTTCTCTGCCTGAAATGTCCCATCCCACCGCTGGATGTTAAAATCATATTTATTTTCAACACTTTAAATACCTTCTTTTTAAAATATCTTTTCTGATTTTACTTAATCTTTTCTTTTTCATACCTAACCCTTGCTTTTCTTTTGATACTTTACATTTTCCTTTTAAACACATCCTTTTGCTTTATTATACAAGAAGGCATGTGATAATATTCTCATTGTATCCTACTCTAACATTGTACCCTTTATTTTTTTAACTTATTAATTGTGTAAACTCCTGGGCTCTAGGCTCCTTGCAGACAGAACCTGTGTCATCTTTGAGTGGCAGTGTGTTGAAGTAGAAATAGCCTGTATTTGAGATTATACAAACACATGTTGAAACTTTACTTTCCACTGACATGCTGTGATCTTGGATAACTTAGTCTCTTTAAACCTCAATTTTCTTTTCTGTAACATGGAAATAATATGTATTGTTTAGTGTTGTAAGATAAGGCTGTGGATAGTTTTTGTTTTGATATATTATAAATCTTGAAAAACATCTTTGGAAGTCAAATGTCTTAAAATAGAACAATATACTATATGTTATAATTGGTCTTTTTATCTCAGAGAACTAAAGAATATCAAATAATCTCTAAAATGATCATCCTTATATGTAGAAGCTCGTGCCCAAGCAATCCTGAGGGCTAGTGGGAAACTTAACCAGCAGCTCAACCTTCTTGGGTAGGAAGCCATAAGCTCAACCCAAGTTGGCCTTGTGTCTTTTCTTAGCACCCCTCTAGGTTTCTAGATAGTAGCTCGAGGAGACTTGAAGAGCATGGGTGTGCACCTGTACATTTTAACTCGCCAACATCCCTTTCTCCATGTGCGAGTGGGTCTTTGTACACTGTAGACTCTCTGACCTATAGAATATAGCTGTTTTGTCTGCTTATGTAATGGAATAATGGATAAGTTTAGCTTGA